CAGAATATGTAATATTCTAACTCTGCCCCCCAAGATTCTTTTGAAATAAAAGAACATCAAGCCACTCATTGTGAAGACTGCTGAATTCAGCTCAAATTAAACACATCTAGAATAAGTGGGGTCTAAGGGATCCAGCGCATCATAAACTTTGCCCTCAGCTTCTTTGACAGGGGTTGAGAGGGAATTTGTTTCCCTGATCATCATAAATACTGAGTACACTGATACTCCATGGAACATTAGTGCCCTTTTTTACTATAAAACTACTGTATTATCAACATCTTTGGGCAGGTAAACAAAGGAAGAGCTTTTTGGTTCCACATGCAAATCACACTGTTCTTTCAGCTGAAAATGAGTCATTAAACAATTTATTGGACTATCTCTGAACAACTTAATCAAAAGTGCCAAAGCCAAGAAAGGTCTGGGTGAGACTTCAGCCCTGCTGTCAGCCAGAGCACAGGGGCCCTGCAGGTCTTACCTTGGCTAAAGTGAACCTTTCTGTATTTTCCCCAGGAAAATGACAGTCCATAATAAGACCAGCTGAACACAATTCTCCCAAAGGTTTGCTGTAGTAAACTGAGACATTATTGAGTCCCAGTCAGCATGGTCACCACAACATGACTCTAGCTCAGGGATTTTTAGGATCTCCTGTCCCATCCACAATGTTTTGATTTATGCCAAGTGCACTTCTGAAGTACAGCTCATTTCTGCTTCAGCCCAGATTTAAGTGACTGGATCCTGGACATACTATCCCATGTTAAGCTGATTAAAAGTACTGTAATTAATAGAATTAGACTAGATAACTACTCAGTGTAACTAAATTAATCTCACCCAAAGCATGTAACACACAGTAAAACAGGAGCATTAACAAAAATGCTGTCTGAAACCAGAAGGGATGGAAATGGTTTTAATCAGACCTCTCTACCTAGAGAATGTCATCCGGTACATATAACAAAAACTCTCAGCTCATTGCAAAGTTGGTGGCTTTCCAAGCAATAAGGATTGTGATACATGGAGACATGTTACTAGGAAACTTGATCAAATGCTAGGGTTGGGAGAAAATTTTTTGGCCTAGTGGGAGTCCTGGAATTTCACAGAGCATTGCATATCTGGAGCTGCATTTCAGCCAAAAGCAGCAGGCCAGCCTTCAACATTAAATGGTTCTCTAGAGCACTTACGGCCTCTACAGTGGAGACAGAAAACCTAATCACATTTTAATTGAGCCACATCAGACTTCCAAATTCAACACGCATTCAAGAGACATTTACTCCAATTACAATATAAACCCACTAGGCCCTTCTGCATAAGCAAGGAACTCAGCAAGGATAGAGTGGAGAGTTTAAACGTGACCATGCACACAATGTCAAAACTTATCTGACAGCATTCCCATGGACAGGCTCACTGGCATCTCCTTCTCTTCGAGGCACTGCATTTCCCACTCCAAGGTTATGCAACCCCACCAAAGCAGCTGGAATTCCCATCAGCTGCTTGTAAACACTGGTCATCTTTCCCACTATTTTTTCACTCTTCGCTGCAGGGAGAGCCTGATGATGGTGAGATTGCCACAGGACCAGAGAGGAGATTTCCTGGAAACCAGCCCAGCCACACAATTATGTTGCATAATGAAATGGACCAAGAAAGGGCTCATGGAAGGATTTACACAGTAGCTCACCACTTGTTAAATAAGCACTTGTGGGTTGTTCTTTGGAAAGCACTTAATCTGTTGTAAATGCCGTAAAATTTTAAACAACTTCATTTTAATACCACATCTCTTACAACATTACTGTACCTGTTCAATAAACCTGCACTCTGTTATGAGGTGATGCTGATCCAGAACTACAGATTCCTAACAGGATCACCCTTCTGCCTGCTCCTGCTGTAGCTGACAGAAGGACATTTCTGACTCTCAGCACACAGATCACCCCACACAGCTGAGGAATAAGGAACACTTTGGTGGGAGCAGGTTTTAAGCGGGTCACTGGAAATTGAACATCTGCTTCAACACAATGTAACTGAGTCTCCCTAATTCAAAATCAAACTGGACAAACCAGGGGGAAACCTGTCTGAAACCAGTCCTGCTGACTCCTGGCAATCACTGTCAGCAGGACTCTTCCCTGTGGGCTCCAGTTTGCAGTGCTGCAGATGGTGATCCTGAGCAGAGCCCCAGGACCACTCCACAAGCTCCAACACCGAGCACCTCGCTGGCCACAAATTCCCTTTGCATCCCCCTCACACTTTTAACACCCCAAGCAGCACCCAAAGATCTTTTCTTGCCTCAGGCTTAAGAGACATAAAGGCAACAGTGATAATTATTGCTTTAGCTGTATTTATTCCACGTCCTGATTGTACCCAGGGACGATTCTGCACTATTCTCCTTCTCCTATCAAAGGCTCTTCCCAGTTATTTCCATGTTTAGTGCAACACAGAGAGCTCAAGATGCATTTCATGGTAACAGAAGAACCAAAATGGCCTTTTCCTGCCAAGTTTCTGTATGATGTGAGGTTGGAAAGATGTTTTTATTACATGCTGAACCTCATGCACTTCAAGGCCAGGTTGGACAGGGCTTGGAGCACCAGGGACAGTGGAAGGTGTCCCTGGTGCTCCAAGCCCGTGGCAGGGAGTGTCACTGGATGAGCTTTGAGGTCCTTCCAACCCAAACCATTCTGGGATTCTGCAATTTCAAACGGTGTCAAACAGCTCAAAAGCAGAAACACGGATGATACTGCCCCTCACTTCTCTGTTGAAGGAAAAGGTGTGGGTGTGTCCAAGACCTGAGTCATGCTTACAACTGGTCTGACAGTGCAGCGACCACAAACCCAATTCAGAGTCTGATAACTTTTTTATGAATTTGACAAACACTTCCACCTCTTATTCTAGGCCTGTTTAAAAAAAGCCTTTCTAAAGAGGAAAAGTGCAATCCTCCTCTCAGTGACTAATGGAACCAAGCCCTGTAGGCAGCAGGTGGCTTTAAGACACCCAACTTTGCCCTCAGCTTCTTTGACAGTGGTTGAGAGGGAATTTGTTTCCCTGATCATCATATGACTAAGTTTAAAGGAAATTTATCATTTGGTTCAAATAGAGCATTGCTATTTCCTCTATGGAAATGGAAACACTAAATCATACATTTTTCTCACATACCATATTTTGAAAGGTCTGCATTCTTTCATGTCTCAGGCTCAAACATTCCCACAGCTAAAGCTGAATATGAAAGTATCCAACTCTTAAAGCACTCCCACCTCCAGCAACCCAAAAGACACCCCAATTCTACTTTGCAGCCTTGCTCAGCCAACATAAATAACTCAGGCTGCTCACTGGAGATTTATTATCTTAATATGCTCATTTCACTGTTGGCCTTGGCAGACATGTCCAGGTTTAGAGTGAAAGATAGCAAAACTTGACAAACCTTAAATCCCAGTGTTGCAGAATTCTATTAGGTAACAGATGGAAAAGATAATTAGCTGACAACTCAACCATCACATGCTTCATTAGGAGCCTCATTCCTCTCCAACACATTCTCTCCCAGATTTATCTTCAGGACAATGAAGGCTATTGTTTGACTTGAACTGGCAAAAAACAAGGCAAGATCATGATACCTGAAGAAGGAACAAGCCTGTATTCCTCTCTAAATTCAGTGCTGTGCTTAGGGACTTCCAGCTGTAAACTGGCCTGGGAATGCTGGGTTCAGAATATTTAGTGACAAAAAGCTCAGGAAGTTTCCTCACCAGCCTCTCTCTGCAAGGAGGAGTTAATGCAATACTTGGTGGCAGGAGAAACCTGTTAAACCACCACCATGCAGTACAGAATAAAGAGATTTACACATACAGATACCAACAGCAATGGTAGCTTCCTCTTTAACTCTCACACAGTCAAACCCAGAGTTTCACTGCCTCTCCTTGGGTTTGTAAAGAAATACTGAGACTGTGCATCTTGGTCATCTGCAGTACAGCTCTGCCCTTCATGAGAAAATACTCAAAGCAAATGTAAACAGATGAAATGGCTTTTAACACTAAAATGGTTTGGTGAAATGTGTATCTTTTTTATATAGTTCAAACCAATTTTCCTCTGGAAACCTCTCACCAAAAAAAAATTTAGTTTCTAGGATTTGCAGCCTCCCTCTCCCTCCATGAGTTATTTATTGGTAGTTCAAACACTCTCCAGCTGTCAGACTCCAGCTCCTCAGCCCCTGACATGTCTCTAGCTCCAGTATAATTTTTGTGGTAGTGTACATGACCAGCCATATTTACAGTCCATTTATAAAGAGCTCATGATTAATAATTGCATCTTTTGAAAGCATTGTGCACTGATTTATTCATCTAAGAGATGACTGCAGTAGAGGAACCAATTAAAGCACAGAATACCTCCTATACATATATATATATATGTATGTATATCTGCTAAGATACAGGAACTTTTAAAAGATAAAATTCCACACACAGTGTTCTTCCTTTTCTGTATTAAGGCACCAAATTTTTGAAAATATGAAGGAGTGGTGTGTTTTCCAACTGTAACTTTACAATGAACACTGAAATGCAGTCAATGCGTCTGCTGCTTATCAGAAATTTCACAGGTGAGCCTGAGAGCCAGCAAGCTCTACTGCAAACACTGAGCTCTCTGAAAAGACTGATTTATAAAAAGCCTCTAAAACTACTGCAGCCTTATCGGAAGCTCAGTTACCAGTTTAACACCTCTAATACTAAAATACTTGGATTAGGACTTACAAGGTAGGTAATGAAATAGAACTTGGGAGTTAGAAAGTGACTTTAACCCCTGTAATAACAATAAAAAGTATCTGGACACAAAACTTACAAGCTCTCTTCAAGGAGTCACCACTGAACTCTCAGAGAAGCTGTTGACAAACCTTGTACTACTCACCCTTGAGACTCACTGTAGTTCCAGACACATTTAAAATATGTAAAATACATCTTCTTGTCTTTTCAATAAACTGCTCCAGTCAAACTTTTTGACAGCCAAGATCCATGTGAAGTGACAAGAAGTCATTCAGCATTGTTCAACATAATTTTAATCTCCACTGAGGGGAAATTATAGAAACATGTTAACACAGACAGCAAATGTTTGGGGAAAGACCATATAGTGCTATGATGGGGGTTTAGTTCATAGAAATGTAATCTAGAATTTTATTAAAATTATATGAAAGAATAACAACATCTTTCAGTAATGTCACACAGTATATAAAAAATAAATCTCAATATTAGTCATACTCTGATGGTCCTTCTAGTAAGAAATTTAAAAAGTGTTCTTTAATCCCAGTGTAGCAACTCAAGCTTAGTGCAGTAGGTCGGATCTGGTTTAAAGCAGGTATTTATAGCATTTGTGCAATTCCTACAATGGACAAACTCCATGATCTAAACATGACCACTAAATGAGGTAAGTATTAGAATTAAACATTCCTTAAATAGCTTACACAACAACTCTACTACAAGGAAAATCCTGGTGCTCCCTCACAGGACGGTTCCAACCTAAACACAACATAAAACTTGTAGTACAAATCAGTGAAAGTTATAAAAGCTCTTGCAAAATATACAGTTTAGTACATTTACAACCCACTGCTACAAACAGCACCTAATGCAAAATATACCAACTTGAACAAAGTCAAACTTCCCAGGTAGTGCAACTGAATTTGCTTTGAATACACTGTTTTGTTCCCAAATCCTCCGAAAAGCTCCATATAAAGTTAGCACATTCGTAATGTAGAAATGTCACTGCCTTCCTTGATGAACAAGAAAAATGAAGGATTTGCTTACCAACTATGATGGCAACTAGCAGTACCATTGATCTCTGAGCAAGTGAAAAACACAACACTAGCTGGGGAAAAATAATTTAAATCTACTCCTCACTGTTTTATACATGGCAAGCTGGCAATAGTAAGACAGCCTATATTTCTACATAGTTTTTTCTGCAGGGTTGCTGAGAACTGTAAGATCAGCTTTCATTGGACTGTAGTTTCTCTGTCTGTGAGTTACAGTGCATAGGAACTACTGCCTTTCACATGCAGAGCTCATTTGGAACACCAGACTGGTAATGATGAGCCCTTATGGCTCATTTGCATACAGAGCCAAAGGTGTTTCATATTCTATTTCACAAGGTGTTTATGAGCAAGATTTAAGTCACTATCAACAAGAGGAATAAACTATGAATTTACAAACATTCCTTCTAACTGTCTATGGCTTCAAAGCCATAAACAAACTGCCCTGACTTTTACAGTATTGCACTTCCCTTTAGTGTTAAACTGACAGTTGAAGTCTGCACAGAACTCGTTTTATGAAGTATTTCAATTTAAAAAGCAATAAATAAAATGCAGTATTAAAAAAAAAAAAAACACAAAACAGTAGCTTTAGTCCATATTCCTCCTACTCCAGACCATGCTACACCATCTGAAACAGGTCTGGGACAGTCTTTGGATACCAACTGCATAGTTCTTCAAACGTAACAGACCAACCCCCTACCCCCCCCATACCCATACTTCTTTAATCAGAGAAGCAAATTAAGCGTTCTACAGCAATATTAGACACAAAGACAGTACCCTTGAGTGCATATCTCAATTAGTTTAAAAGGATGTGTTGCCTTAGCTCAAGATAAATTCAGCAATTAGACAGAGTTACTCCGTATTGCTGCTGGGTTATGTGACCAACACTGAGTGACCTGTCACTGCAGTGACAAGTTGCTGAAGTCCTTGGCAGAGTCTCTGACCATCTGATCCAGGCTGGGGCTCCCAAGAGCACAGGCTGGCCGCTGCCTGCCCAGGAGCCCCAGGCTGTGCAGGTTGAGGATGGAGTCGGCGATGATGCGCGCCGTCCTCTTCTGGTACCCCCCGGATGTCACCATCAGCACGGGGACCCCGCGGCTCCTGGCAGCCCTGAACACCACCTCGTCCCTCTTCACAATGCCCTGCAAGGTCACCACAGGAAAAAAATAAGTGATAGCAACATGATGCTTCAGTTCTAACCTGTGGTTTATGGATTTAGAGTATTGGATGCTTGCTAAGTGTTTAAGCCTTACAGTTTACAGTAGCAATTAAAAATTTATTTACAAGTCCTGTTAGCTGGTTTGCAAGCCTCATCATTAGAAACAAACCCAATCACACCACCCCCAAAACTCCCAGAAAATCAAATATCCTTGGCTTGTTTTAGAGGACACAGCAGATAAAAGTCTTTAGTACAAATCCCTACAAGAATTCTGATTCAAAGGCCATAAAGTCTAAACTGATTGCAAATTTTACACCTATTTACCAGGTGAGGAATTGAGGATAGGAAGGACTATCTGAATTCACAATGCTTTAATTTGTACTCAGCTTGCACAGCACCGGCTGTCAAAAGTTTAGTAACTTGATCAAAATTTCACAATCCTACAGAAAAGCCCAAAATTCAAATCAAGTTTTACACATTCACAATCACTGGATGAATCTGAAGTCCCAGTTTCTGCAATAAGAGCCTGTGGTTAATGCTACAAGAATCTGTAGCTGAAGGGGAAATTGCAGAATGTAAGCAATGGTAAATCCATAAAGAGAAAATAAATTCTAAGTAATTTCTTACTAAGAGAAGGGTATGGAATTGAAAAATAACAAAGACTGCTGACCAAGAGGTGTTGAACTGTCATTGAACCCAGGCAAGAGCAGAGTGTGAATCTTCTGGGTTTGAAATAAGGGTGAAACACACATAAGGGTGAAAACTACTTCAGGAATGAGTGAGAACAGAATTAAAACCTACTTTTGTAAAAGCAGAGTTCCAGATACATGCAACTCATTAGAACTACTCAAAAAAAAAACCAAAAAAAATCCCAAAAAAAAACAACAACCAAAAAAAAAACTTGCAACACAAGTGACAACAGCTTACAATGGACAGCTCAAAACAAATAATTGCAAAGCTGGTGAAGGGAAAAGGCATCACAATGCAATCAAATACAAATACAAACAAATCAAGAAGCAGCAGAAGTGTTTCAAAATGAACATGCACTGCCCAGGCTGGTTACAGGAAAAGTGGAAGAACATCAGGAAATAACACCCTGCCATTAATTAGACCACAAACAGATGGTAAAGGGAAAGAATAAAACACAAATGTAGCAGGAAAAAAGTATCTTGTAAAACCATCCAATAATATTGTTCACTGCACAGTCTGACACAGTCCTGGGAAGGAACTAGGAATAACAAATGAACAGTAAGACAAAGGAAACTGAAGAATTCTATTAGAAACAGATCCTTAAAGGAAGCAACAGAATTACAGAAGGAGCTGCAGGGCCCTGGGGACCCAGCAGAGGATGCATCACTATTATCCCAGACCAGAACTGGAAGCAACCCCTGCTCTCAGGAGCCTCACTGCTCCAGCAGCTCCAGGGAGAGCCTGCAGGAGCTGAGGGGAAAACATGGGGTTATTCCCACATTTCTGTGGAAAACAAGAGCCTGGCACAGCTCCCACTTGCAAACAAAGGGAAGAGGGACTCAGCTGATGCACCGGCTTTTTTACAGCCTCATGAACCAGGAAACCATCACTCAGAGAGCCCCACTCTGGGCACAACTAACACTGCAGCAGGAGCTTAAAATCTAAGTGACATCTTCAGGAGCAGAAGTGAAGCCTGCACTAAGGACCTTTGAAGAGAGGGACTGTGTAGGCAAGATGCCTTTCCAGCACTGGGATTTCAAGCCTGCACACCAGAGACAAGAACCCTGCCCTCAGAGCAAACACTAAAGGCTCGAGCTCCCTCCAGCTGTGCAGAGAATGCCTTTCACCTCTCCTTGTGGCCAGGGAAGCTGCTTCACCTCTCCTCCCCCATCCTCATTCTGTGTCTGCACAGAACCCAGCAAGCTACAGCAACTCATTTTTCATGGCAGTTAACACTGCTCCTTATCAAAGTGCAGAAATTTGGGGGTTTTTTTTTAGAGGCAAATCCAAAGTATCTCCCTCTGACCAAGCTGCTACTTCCCTTGGTTGCCACTGCTCTCCAGAGGGCTCTGCTTCACCAAACTCCACCTCACACCTCAGGCTATCTCCTGTCCAAGGTCCCAACCAAGCCCAAGCCTCTCAGCTCTTTGTGCAAGAGAACTGAACAGAATTAAAACTGAACAGATCAAGTGGTGGCTCAAAGAGGGGAAATCTGAGAGCTCACAGATCAAACAAGCACTTTTCTGTATTGATGTGGTGGCCATTAAAGAGACCTAAATGTGAAACAGGAGAGAGATAGCACAGAGGAACTGTCAGAGAAGGAATCACCAAAACCCATGAAGGAAATAAGAGGACTGTAAATTTTTGCTTGTTTTAAGAAAAGCAGAAAGGTGAAGACTTCTATGAAACTTTACAGAATAAACCAAAATTTGAGTCTGGTAGCAAATTGGGGAAAGTAAATGGTATCTAAAGAAAAAGATCAAGAAATGGAAAATAACTGTTCATTTACTGAGAATACACAGCCAGGCTGCACAAAATTGTTATAACCATGAGGGTAATTTAAAACAGCTGGGAATGCTACAGGAAGAAATTAAGTGTAAGATGCACATTGAGGGCAGGTGACAGAAGAAATACATTGCAAAATGGGTCATGTGAGGTGAAAAAAGAACCAAAGAAAGAACAAACTAAGCAGGGAAAATAGAAGTCAAGGTGAAGTGTGAAAATATACGTATCTCTCTGGTTTACTGTTTGGGTGTTGGCAATCAGTGTATTTTAGAGAGAAGAGAATGGTACTGGAACAGGCACCAGAAGAACAAAAATATTCAGAGTCAGGAGAGGGAAGAAAGAAGAGAAGGGTGAAAGGGCAAGGGAGATGTGTGTCTGTGACAGGACAGTGCTGTGCTGGGGGCAGTGCTGCTGCAGGCTCACACACCTGGGGGGAAATGGCCAGGCCTCCCAGGGGATCCCCGTCCAGAATATCAGTGCCAGCATTGTAAACAACGATGTCAGGCTTGAATTCATTCAGGGCTCCCTCCACGTGGGTCTGCACCTTCTGCAGGTACTCGGTGTCCTCTGTGCCCCACTCCAGTTCCACTTTGCGTTTTATGGCACCTGAGGGACAACAAAGCAAGCGCTGCTCAATAAACAAAGCATTGCTTTGAAAGGAAATGCACAATTGAGGTAAGCGAGCGAAAAAAATTACATTTTTGGAAGCTCTCTCGATACATTGCATTTTCACAGAAACATGAATTAAAGAAAACTATTCAACTGCTTGTTTTCTCAGCAAATGCAAAGCACAATGACCTTGAAAAAATTCCATTGAAGAGAGAAAATTAGATGCAGGACAAAAAAAAAAAATAATCTGAGATGCAAATGGAAAATGTTATTGAAAAATAGCTGATCTGCAAGTCCAGTTACCAATCAGCAGAGAAATCATAAAGAAAATTATTAACTTAAAAGTAACCTAAATCAAGTGCAAGGCAAAGAAAACACTGAAAAGCTATTGCAGAGGAAACAGCTGGGGGAAAAACAAGATAAATATTACTGAGAAATTATGAAGATGTTTTATTTTTATCACAACACTCAAAACTTCACAGCAAGGGATCATGAATTTATGTGAACTGCTTTATGAATGTATAACAAGATTCAGCTTTGCCCCAAGCATTTTCAATTTAAGGTTCTTACCCTGTAATCCTACCAGGAGAGCACATATCAATTCTTAATTTAAATCAAATTATTTCTAATGCTTCTAATAAAGCAATAGAAGTAGAAAATGAAGGCTGAGAAGGCAAAGGAAAGAAACCCAAGGTTATGCAGCTGAATTTTGGGTGCTTTTATGGAGGAATGTGTGACTCTGCCTCTGAATTAATCAAAGCCATGCCAGAGCTGTTCCAAGGCATGACTTCTTCCTCACACTAAATGATGTGGAGTCTCACATCTTAAATATGGATTTGGCCCCCACCAAGTGTGCAAGAATGCCCTCAACACAGAATGACAATTACTCTTGTGATTGCTGCATTTTGTTCTGCTTTTCATCTCTGTTCAGCATCAGTGAAACTTTTCTTTTTCATCCTCTTATTTCATATTGCATCAACATTAGTTTCAAAGATTTTTGCTTCTTTATGGTTTCTCAAGAGTTTCAGCCTTTCCTGCTTACCCTTCAGTGAACCAGTCCTATTCCTCATCCCTCCTTTCTCCTCCTAAGCCTGTCTAATTCCACACTGCTTTGCCCAGGGACTCAATATGCTTATGGCTTAGCATTGGCAAGGTGAGCTGCTCCCTTTTCCCCCCTTCCTACTAAAGCCCATGGGGCAAAAAAATGTGTTGAAGAGGTTCCTGCCATAAAACCTGGAAAAAACAGGCAGGAAGTCCAAGGAGACAGTGATCAATTGGAGTTTACCCTAAGGATTCAAAATCTCATGTTCAAGCCTCTGTCCCTCTACAAGGAGACTCCCCCTGTGATCCCATCTCTGCCTGGTCACCTATTGGAAAGGGTTTAAGGGACTTAGCCACAAAAATCCTATTTAGACATTCTTGTGCAAAGTGCAAGGAACTACATATTCACATGGCTTTGGCCCAGCCCTGTGCACCTCATCCTTCATCTGCAGAAAGGGAATGCTGGAATTCAGTGTGGTACTGCAGCTCAGTGCTTCACACTTGCTAGCAAGGACTGACTCTGTTTTGGTCTTAATCCATCCGTTCAAATGCTGCCATGTGACATATGAATAAAAGGATGCTTTTCTTGGGGGAAACCTCCCCATATTTGCTTGCAATTTGTCTGCCTCCAGACATGGTGTGCTTTACATGGTCATTTTTTAGCTTAAAACCTTGAAGTACTACAATTCTTAGTATCTTTACTAGTCAAAAGACAGCAGTGAAATGCACTGCACCTAACTCTTGTCAAGAATCCAAATGAAGTAGGTTTTTCAGAACAACAGCATCAGTGAAGGAATCCAACAGCAGAACAACTCCCCCAGCAACCCCTGACTCAGTGAACAAATTAAGCTTGTAATAAATGACAGTGTAACAGAATCAAAGACCAAATAAACTTGGGGCTTTTGCATTCCAATTTAACCATCATCAAAGCCCCACTAATTAACTGTGGCAGGCCACAAGACATAACAGACACATCACAGCAGGGACAAACAAATCACAACCAAACCAAATCAAGCACCAGCTCTTAAGGTGGGGATGACAGGGAAGGGGGAAGTCCCCATCCCTGCAGGGACTGAACAGTGTGGATGTGGCATTTAGGGACACTGGTCACAGCGCTGGAGGAATGGTTGGACTCAACCTCAGAGGGACTTTCCAACTTTAAATCCTACGGTTCTGTTCCAGGACTTGCTTTGCTTCCCACCTTGTGCCACATTCAGATGCAGATTGTTTCCTTCATGCTTATCAAATAAATTCTACTGGCAAGGCAACACCTGAATGTGTTATAACTTCACTCTCAAAAGAACATTAAACCTTTTTACTCACTATCAGCTATTCCTCTCATAAATATAATGTAAGGGAAAATGAAGTTCTAACAACTCTCTTCAAATCAAAGGATTATTCAACTTGCTGCTCCAAGCTCTGGAATGAACTGCCAACAACATCCACTGACACCTCCCCACAGCCTGCACTCCAAAATGTCATTCCTGAAGCGAGGGAAAACACTACAGCATGAACACTATTATGATATATCACAGTGAGCAGTGAAAATGATGTGAAATTAAAAATAATAAAAGAAAAGAAATCTAGGTAACAGTGTTGCAAGGAAGCTTAGCAGTAAATAAAGAAGTTAGGTAACAACATAGTAAGTCTGGTACATTTGGGAAGATGAATTTCAATTATACTCACGTTTAGCAAAACCATCACCTGGGTAAATATATCTATTGTATGCATCCATAATATAAACCCGAGGATCATCCATAAAGTCCCTCTCATGGCCATTTCCCTGAAGGAAATTTACAGTTAGCTATTCCTACCATGGCAACACAGAATTAAATACACTGCAAATTCTAAAGTAATTAACACTACAGAGGTTCTAATATTCAGAACTCCTGTGTCATTCTCTTATTTAGTAATAGTCCTGGAGATTATTTTGAGGTGTGCAGTTTTGGGGGGCTTGACAGGATCACTCTGAAGACTGCAGATATTACCACAAATAAAATCCTTGTCTCTCTCAAGGTAATTTGCATGGATCTCATTACACATGTAAGAAAAATAAGCAAAAATCAGAAGCTAATTGTCCTCAGGAGCATAACAAAAGCAACTGTGACCACCAAACAGATCTATCATCTTCCAAATGTGCAAGAAAAAGTCACTTTCAACTGCTGCAGGAATACTGAGTATTCTTATGTAAGAATTAATAAATATACAAAGCAGACTACAGCTCTCCTGATAACTGAAGCCTTGGTGAGGTAAGTATTCCCTGGAAAATTACAAATATTAATAATCCAACAGTTTAACTCCGGAAATTCCCTACAAAAAATTGTACTGGATGTGAAGAGAGATGCTCGAGAGAAAATTCAGGTTTGGCACAGTCCCCCTCCCCGTTTCTGAATTTAAATACTATTCTTTTGGCTCTCACTTATTTTCATTAATATATAAATCATTTTAACACAGCAATCACTAAGATAATTTTATTTAAATCAGTGTATCATAAAGGACCACAGCCCCTCTCCCTAGAATTTCACTTGAAGTACAGAAACAGACATTTCCACAGATACACCTGCTGTAATTCAGTTTTTATGCTTACAAATGGCAACTCTATTTATTTCTTCAGTATCTTTGTTCCACAAATAAACAGTTCATACACACAAGCCTAGAAATATGAAAGCCTCTAGGGGAACCATTTCCTTATGAGAGGTGAAACTCACCACTGCACTAAGAATTGGAACTGTCACAAGACGAGAGCACCTGCATCCTTAAACAGGATCTGCTGAGCTACTTCAGACACCTCTCATCCCCCAAAGAAAGGAAACAAGAGGTGTTTTAATGTGCACACTGAGACTACCAGCATCTGAAAACCAAAATACATTCCAAGAGTTTTTCAAAACCAAACTACCCCCACATAGCACAAAACAAATCCACGGCCTCACAGAGAGGCTGAAGAGAACCATGAACACAAAGCAACCTTCTACTGCATCATCTGTGTCCTGCTACCATGGTGATTTTAGGACACATAAGAGAAATGAGAGAAGATTAAAAACCTGCAGCCATTAGGCTTCCTCAGTGCCACAGAACTGTGTAAAAATGGTTTCTTTACACATAACAAATCACCTGAAATGCCTCAGGTTGGACATCACTTTGGTGCATTAACTGCCTTTCTAAAAATACCATCTCTGGCCTTTCAGGATTTATTTTGCAAATCCCACCAAAGCTGAGATTTGATCTCAGTGCCGCAGTAAATCACTCCATCAGCTGAAGAGGGATGGATCCTTTACTTCATTAGCCTGAAGCTAGGCTTAAAATTAAACCACTGAAGGTCAAATCCCTCCCCTGCAGAGGCTGCTGCAGTGACCAGGCCGTGGGAACCAGCTGGGATTGTGTCTGGAGAGATCCTTGTTTCTCATGGGAGTGCAACGCAGCAAGGTTTTTACATGCAGCCACATGATGGAGCTGCAACTCAGGTTAATTTTACTAAACTGGCTTAAGAGTCTTTTGGGCCATAAAATAATAGAAGAATCAATTCTTTACAGTTTTTCATCACATCTGATTAACTTTGTATTCTGTGATTTTATGTTTGTATTAAAAAAAGGTATTTATCACACACTTTTATTTTAAGCAATACTTCCACAGCACTGGATACAGGTAAACTACTCACCTGATGGGCATCCAGATCAATAATTGTGGCTCTAGACACTCCTTGTACTCTCTCAAATAAGAACTGGATATATAACCAAGGAAAAACATGGAAAAATTTATCAAGTTAGGTGACATTGATTGAACTGGAGGCTCTAAGATTGAACTGGAGGCTCTAAGATTGCACAGTGCATGACTGTAGGAATTTGAATGCGGGACACATCTATTTGTTTCGGTCACCAAAGAAACTGAGACATGATTCTCATACATTTAATGTAAACATCTCATTATTTGACATAAAAAGATAATTTTTCTTAAAATAAGAACCCTATATATAAATTTCCACCACATAAAAGAAAGAGGTCAGGCCCACCCAGGGATCACAGAGCTGATGCTGACAGCATCCAACTGCAACAGCCTAAAATTCAGTGTTTAGGAAAAACTGCTGTAAGGACTGCGTGCCTTAGAGCCACTTTTAGTGAAAAAATTAATTTTTTATTCAGTCTGGGAAGAAAAAAGTGGCTGGTACTTCTTTGAGTCTTAACTTTGCTGCTAAGTTGCCATCTTTAATATAGACACGGTAAACCCCAAAGATTTTTTACAAACTGTCACCCACTATAATTTCTCAATCTGTATTTTAATGGTAGGTGAAAAAAGAACACTGTGGATTACTTTTCTGCAAATTACCATGTACAGAAATTAGGATGTTATGTCTCAGGTGTGCTGCAATCATTAGAGCTCTTTAGTGTTTGATTGTTACTGATACTTTATAAATATTCTAGTATACAAATATACCATAGCTCATTTGATAAAAAAAAGCCCTAATTGCAGAAGGCTCTTACTTCAGCCATTCAACAGCTAAACACCAAATGTATTCATTCCCATTTGGTGATTATTTTGGAGTCACTCACATTTTTATTTATGAATGTGAACCAGTCTGAGCCCTGTTGGGTGCAGTTTGATTCAGAGAGGGGATTTTTGTCTTGACTATCACCACTGAAATCAATGTGGAATGCCCAGCTTCACCTGCAGGGCCGGAGAATTATCACTGAGGATATTAGAAATCCGTCTGGTTTGACTTGGGAGTAGTTTTCGCAGGACAACATTATCAATGCAATTACAGTGATGCCTCTTTACTAATTGGTAATTCTGACCCCTGCAACTCTTCCCTTCCACTTTACAACTCTCCATATCCCTATTCCTGCCCATCTGGAAATAGCTTCATTTTCTCCTATTAAGATGTAAATTACTTAGGAATTTACATGGATTTCTCCTCCATTTGCACAAGCAGCAGAAAACACTGGTTTAAGAGCAGTTCTTACCTTGATGGCCAGTGTGATGTCAGCATATGCACAAAATCCTCCCCCTTTGTCACTGGAGCAATGATGGAAACCACCCCCTGAACAGGAAAGTTGAAAGGGTGAAAAGCTACAAACTAAACAAAAGCCAGATACTAAAAACGTTGATGGGCTTTGCAAGGAGAGGTAAATGAAAATCAGATGCTCTTAACACGCTATTTAGGGTATCACCGAAATTGTACTCACCCACGTTGATGGCCCAGCCTCTATCCACAGCAAGCTTTCCTGCCTTAAAAAAAAATTACAGTTGGAATTCCACAAATGAATGAGGCAACACTTACATTCGGCTTCCACCCCAAACCATTCCTGGCATTCCGACAGGCCAGTGGAATTTTCAGATCTTTTGCCACTGAACCAGATCCCTGAGTACAACCCTTAACAAAACAACCTTCAGTGTAAGGAGCTGAAAGAGTATTTGCTATCCATCATTTCCTTCTCTGGCAGCTGGAAAAGAGAAAGAGCAGTGCTGGCAAAAGTAAAATATTACAAAGAAGCTCCTGATGTCCTTCCTGTTCATGCACTAATAGAGGAATGTAAGCTCAAAATCCTGGAACGCAGACATAAAAAACCATAGTCCCAGCTGGGGATGGGACCAGACACGTGCTCCAGTGTGGAGCGTCCTGGTACTTCTACTTTCTATAGGAGAGAACATGCAGGGTATAGGTTATTAGTGATCTCTTCCCCTTCAGTACAGGGAAACTGTGCCTGTATCTCTCCTTTGAACTCAAGCGGCACGCAGGGAGGGGAAAGTATTGACAGAAAAGAGATACACAAGTCTTAAATGATGGAATTTTAACTGAAAATCCTGATTATTTTGGCCAGGAAGAGTCAAACAAGCATTTAAGTGCAACATTCCTTAAGTGATCTGTTAAAAGTAATATTACTTTAAGATATTACTAGTTACAAGCAGGGAAAAAAAATGGGGACAGAAAACATTTAAAAATTGATTCTTTTTTTGTCCATAGTCATGGAAAGAAAAAATTACACATCATATCCAAAATGAAGTTTGGATAGTTATGAAATCTTTATAACCAATATTTACATTTGAGCAGTTTTAATTCAGCACTAAGACAACTATTGGCATGGTAAACATGATCCTGCTATGATCATGCCAACTTACACAAATTAGATCTTGGGGAAAGATTGCAGTTTCTGAACTATAAAACCCATTAAGTCCCAGAGAGAACACATTATCTTCGATTTATCACACTTCCTAGGGATTCCTCACCAAAACCCAATCTTCCCATATTGCTAAAATATCATTAAAAAGTAGAGAAACTCAACAGGAATTTTTGTAATAAACAGGCCCATCAGGAATAGCAGAAAATTGCACTTCTGACTTGTCTGACTTGTACCGTTCAAATTTTATTGTCTGATGAATCAAAATTGCTTTTAAAGCATATTCCTATTTCCTCCTAATGAAAAAAAAAAGAAAAAAGGTAAAAATAACAGCACATGGCCTCAAGATGAATCCCAAAGTGCATCCAAAGTGCAAGATGAATCCCAGAGTGGCATCTGTGTTTCAGGAGCCATGAGAAAAACAGACCATTGGTAGGTGCCTCCTCTACCTGAGCACATTTCTAACTGGTGAACACACACCTGGGAGTTAAATATAGCACAAGCACAGTGAAAAACATCACCAAAGTAGAGAAAAGTATTGCCTAGCTGGAACCAAGCTGAAAGAGGCTTCACACACACTGAGCTCCTGTCACGAATATCCAAGGCAGAGAATCAGGAAGCTCTAAACTCTTCCCAAGCCTTCAGACCACTGCGTTCATTCCTGTGACAATCTTGCAGTGACAGCACGGCTGTAATGAGGGGAAACTCTGCAGGTCCCTGCTCAGCAGGACTTGCTCTGAGTGACAACCAAATATTTTTAAGCACCTTGAACGACATGAAATTCTTTCTCCCTCCCCATCTCTGCTTTTGCCAGTTCATGCCTACTAAAGGAGGCAGCACTTCTGTTACCTGGCCTATCACCACGATCCAATACATCTAAAGACTTATCCAGAACCCAGCAAGTTCTTTCAGAATTCAAATCCTTAAACAGTCCTTAACAGAAGTTGGTTTAACTTTTGTATTTCCCAGCCTAACTCACCTTTGACATCTAGGAGCTGCAATAAACCCTGTTCCTGTATCTGGCATGGCAGCACTGTCCGAGGCTGACAATCTCAGTTACAGAAACACCACAACTCCCAGGTTTACAGTGTTTGATGAGCAAATTTAAACATGATAGAAGTGGACCAAGAGCACCTTACCATTATTGTTCCTCCTGTCTGGGTTCGTAGAGGTTTCAGAACTTTTCTCTGAACAACAAAATTGGGAAGAAAGGCAACCGGAGGAATTTCTGTGATTGTAGCCACAACAAATGACCACTGCAAAGGGGAAAAAGAGAGTTCCAATTAATGTATTGTGGTTTGATAATGACACTTAGCTCTCTCATTAGTTATTTACTGAAAAGGTGCTCACAGGTCCTTAGGAAGAGTTTTATTGTTTTTAGATGGGAGCAACCTCACCAGTTCTTACTCGTGACCTCTAAATAGGTTCATCCTCAAGTTTTTAACTATGAGAATCATCACTTTCCAGATTTTAATATCAAACTGCAAAATAATATCAAATAGCAATTTTCATGAAAGTAGTATTTCAGAAAATATAATATCCCTCAGACTGGGAGGAAGAATTGTAAAATGCCCTTCAGCTACACTTGATATATTGTTCAAACCTAAAATATCTATTCCTGTGTGGAATCAAAAGGATATACCAAGGAGAAAGCAAACACAAACAAACAGACAACTGAACTAAGAAGTTCAAACACTTAAGTGAACACACAGTACAAACTTTAGCATAGAGAACTGATTAAAATTTATTTAGCATATTAAACACTTCTGGAAAATGTTTGAAGGAAACATTTTATTCAAGTCTTCAAGGTTAGAACACAAAATATTTGCAATATGGAAATGCTTTTTTTTGCAAACACATTGATTACTTCAAAGAACTCCCACTAACACTGCTACCAGTGATAACACTGCTAAATATATTTCAAAGCCTAAGTCACAAGCAAGAATATACCTGTCCAACCAGTACTGAGACACTGAAGGACAGAGGATTACAACTTGCCACCATGTACAAAGAGTCTGAACAGATCCTATTTTCTGCAGCATTAGGAACTGTAATGAGAATGAGGGCATTGGTTGCCCCATTCCTGAGCTGTTCACAGCTGGCAGCATGCGCAGCTGAGCAATTTGAACCAAAGGCAGTCACATCCCCATCTCAGGGTCCTCTGATGCTCAAAATAACTTTCCAGTTAGCAATATTTCAATTACCAGGTACTGCTGGGTGGTGAAGGGGTGGCATTGTTCATGAAGTGCCGAAATCTTAACTATGTTTTGCCAACAGTTAATTTCAAAATCTCTCTACTTTTTTATTTGCAAGACATTATTCTGTTACCATCTTATCAGCTGTCCATCACAAAGTGCTTTAATTATTTTTTAGTACAGTCAATCTTGATAAAGCCCCTTTGCAAGACATTTTAGCTTTTGAACAAACACATTATTAAAAACTGTATTCAATCCTGTTGTTCTAAAATTGAAATTAAAAGGTCACATTTGGATAAAAAATAAATCTGATCTCAAATGTGAATGATAATCATGAAGTTTTACAAAGTTTAAAGTAAGACTAATGTCAACAGGGAGAAGTGGGAGCAATCATGACTCAAACCAACAATGAGGCAGCTGCAGGTTTTTAAGTTGAGGCAAGAAGTCCAGGTGTGGTAGGAGTTTTGGCTCCCAGGCTTGCTGGTCATAGCTGGAACCATTCCTGTTGCCACTCACTGCCCTGGGCCTGAACTGGGATTAGTAATTCCCAACAAGGGGAGTCACCAACTGGGAGCAAAGTCTGGGGGTTCAAAAAACGCAGCTACAGGCGAAGGAAAATACTTCTCCAGTTAGTAACTGAAAATCTGTGGAATGTTTTATGCTTTTTTCTTCAGTGTGCTGGTTTTGTTTCCAGCATTCCCCACAACAAATTCCCAGACCAGCTTTACCCTCAGCATTTGCATTTCAGTGTTTGCTCATGTTTGTTACCATAGAACGTCTCATAAATAAAAAGGGAAAATCACAGTCAGAAACTGGCTCTAACCTGACTGCCTACTTCCTTCCCAAAGGTCAGAATGCTGACACTCAAGAAATTAATTATTTCACAGAACACTAGAAAAAGACAGCAAGTGGAAAAGTACTGCAAGCAAACTACCCACAGTCCAGTCATTACCTTGAAGGTCCAAATTCATCACAGGAATAACTGAGGGAGAATCACCTCAATTCAAAAGGCCAGACTTTGTTGTGAGGACTGAGCAGGGAAACAGGGAGACTCTTCTTGCTAACACAGACCTAATTTCCAGCAGCAGAAGTACCTCGTGCACACCTTTTTGCTTCTCTTCTGCCAACACTCAGCTGGCCTTTCAGCTGCTGCTAAGACACCAATCACCACCTCCTCTTGCAAGTGTAGACTATTTCCTACCAAATTCATGTTCAGATTTTAAATGAACACTCAAGTAATTCATTATTTTAGAAGACCTAGGCATTCTGAGAAAGGCAAGCAACTTGGTAGTCTTTCCAGCTGATCTAATATAAAACGATACCATTTATACCTATTTGTCGGGATTTAAAAGAAAATTAGCACAGTAGACTTTGGATAAGGCAATAAAGAGCTTTCACAGAGCTTTTTCATGTCTAGGATACAATTCTGCTTTTTCAACTAAGCACTTTTATCTTTGCTGCTTGGCAGGAATCTGCTGGCGCAACCAATACAACATCTTCCAGTTCCTACACTTGCAGGAAATATTCTCTCAAGAAAAGGGGGAGAGGAGACATCCAGTTCATTCCATCTGGATACACACAACAGTGCTGGACTTGACCACAAGACACAAGTTACACAAGTGAAGCCATCCCGTAGGTACTAAAAATATTATTATGGCATTCCAATCTGAGCTATGCACATTAAACCCTGCTTCAAAGAAGTGATTCAGGAAAAAGAGGTGGGTGGTTCTATGGAATTAAAACTTCAATATCAAGAATAGCTGCAATAATATCAAACCTAATGATGCATGAAATTGCATGTAACTTCACAGCACAGAATGAAGAAGCATAAGAGAATTCAGAAAAGCAGTTAAGAGTGAAAAAGTTCACACAAATAACAGATCACTTATACAGAAAAATAAAACATTCCAGAAATAGCAATCCAAGGACTCTTCCACTGTGGAAGGGCATGGGTGACTCAAAATAACTTCTTTTGAATTATGAAATGGAAGAATTCTTTTTCCTTACAAATCCGTTCTTTGCCCTCCAAGCAGAGCTGCCAAGCAAAAGTAATGTCATCTGCACTCATCTACTACCCAATTCCACCCACAGATAACTGCATAGATTCAGAACCAGAAATCTCACATGTTTATGCTTTAGTTACACTGAAGTTAAACAAATGGATGTTTCCTTTAGAAATATACAAGGAATGTTCTTCATCCCCCCTGCAGTCCTGTGTGAGCTGGCCCTGGAAACCTTCACAACAGATAACGTGCTTGGTTATGGCCTTATGCTGATATTTCAACTCTCTCCATATTCCACTGATACAGGCAGTGTCTGACTATGAAATCAGTACTTTCCCCCAGCAGACTGACCACAGAACCCCTACACACATGCTCTGTCAAGATTACATAACCCCAAACCCCATAAAGCAATCCCTGCATTAGAAAACATCCAATGAAGTATTCTCATGTTAGTGGTTTCTATTGTATTTTCAGTTGCAGAACTGTATTTTATCAGAGTAAAACAAAACTTACACTGCTCAACACTAAAATCCTGGCACTAACAAGAATATTACTGACATCTCAGACATTCTAATTTTGCCTATGTTAAATTTCCCTGAAATATCCTTTCAGGTCACTTATTTAATATGGTAGACCTTCTTTCCCCTCCACCCCTCTGTAGTGTGAACTGCCCAATATTTCTGTGGTTTTCTTTCAGTATTCTCAGTAACAATGTTATTAGTGTGATCAACAGATACTATTCTATATCTGTAAGGCTGATTTAAAACAACTGTACAAGACATCCACTGCCTTTGACACTCACACTGGACAGTTTGCTGGAAAAACATATGAGCAGGTACAGCACCTTTAATTTATTAAGGTAGCGCCTGGTGTGAACAACCAAGAGATCTTCATCAGTCGCCTCCCGTGCCTGCACAATCAAGTCGTCTGCAATTAGTTTTTCTTCTGCAACAGGAGAGAAATAAAAATTGGCATTGTACAGCACTGCTTAGCTCCCCATGTCCTCCCTCCAAACACTCTGCTCTGACCTCGGTTATTGCTGGAACAACTTTAGGTTGCTCAGAGCTTGCAAGTTTTCCAAATACACCCCCTCTGTCACAGGTAAGCTGTTCAGGTAGTGTGTGGTTGAGAAATATTGTGTACAGGAAGTTTTCAGAGTGTGCTAAGATCATGGGAAGTTCTCCTCTGAACTGAAAGTAATGACAGAGGATGGACACACACTGGAATCACACACCTCCTTCACAGTTTAGGGCTTGGTGTACTGGGGAAATCTTGGTGCTTGTGCCATCAAATAGCCACCATTATTTTAACATGCTTTAAGAAATCACACCATTTATACTAGGATTTAATCCCCTAAATCACAGAAGAATAAAGTAATAAATCAAAATTCAAAACAAAGTAATAGTTTGGATGTTCATGGAAGCAAATAAGCTTAATTAGGATATTTCTATTACCCCCTACCTCAATCTCATTTCAAGAAAAAACAAAGAGCAGCTATTCATTCTTTTCCTTAGAGACTGAAGGATTATTTTAAAACTTCATTTTATAAGAGCAAGTTACTCCAAGAATTCAGAATGAGTGCATATGATCACTACAAACAACAAGGAATCCTGCCGATCTTCCCTGGCAAATTTTGATATTTAATTGTTGCACAGCTGTAGCCTCCTAAGCCTGCATCTCTTCTTTAATTTTATACTTGGAGGAGAAAAGAAACAACTCCGAAAAGTGATAGATTTTGCTCTGAAGTGTCATACAAGAACAGCACCTGCAACAACATTTGTTTTGGCAAGCTTCTGTTTCTCCTGACTGAGGCTTGAGGAACAATTCATTCATGCACTGGGGTGTCATCAGAGCCAAACTGCTGCCAGCCTCTCTCCAGGAGGAAGGGGCTCTGGAAAGATGCTCACTGCTGATCTGCTCAGTGATAAGGCACAGGGGAGGTCAGCTGTTGCCAGGAATTGCTACACAGCTACAGCAAATCAAGTGCTCTGGGGCATCCTGGGGTGGCATCTTCCTTTCAAAGGACAGTAAAACAATTGGGAAAATGAATTTTCTGTAAAAGCCTGAGATACTTGAGAATAGACATGTCACAGAAAAAGAGCTGGAGGAAAAGGCTTTACACAGAAGAAACAGAAAGGCAAAAGTTCTGATTAACTAAGAAAACTGTTGTGGAACCAAAAATTAATTTAAGGTTGGTAGGGGAAAAAAGCCAAAACTCAGCTACTAAGTTATCAGAGTGTTAAAATTATCTGTACCAGAGGGGCCTCAAAGCTCTTTCCAAACATCATGAGAGCAACAGGATGAGGCTGCTAAAGAATGGACTAAAGTGCTACAGCTGCACTTCTCCCTCAGCCTGAGGAGCCCCTGTGTACAGTCCAGGTTGAGCAACTAAGTTACACCTGCAGCAAACCATCATTAACAGCTGGTGTTCCACCAGCCACAGGAATGCCCCAGCTCCTGCTACACCAGGTGTAAAGGCAGGGAAGCACAAGGCTATAGGAAGCCACACGCTGCAATTCAGGTCTAGTAAGCTCAACACAACTCTGTACTAACGGCATAATTTCTTCAGGTTTTGTGCAAATATTGGTTTAAGAGGCACCTTCTGTTATGTTTTTACCTTTCAAGAAATTGATGACTTTCCCCCATTTCCCTGCATCGAAGGGGTGCAGCTTCTCAAGTCCCATGAAGGTGATGTTGTAGTCTGGGGAATACACAATGGGCCAGCATCCCAGTGGGGGCTCCTCATACAGCTCCGTCCTGTGAGGCCTTGGCAAGCAAACACACACCAGTCACCACTCCAAAACTCATTTACCACTTTTACACTGAACGCCCAAATTAGAAATTAGTCCTAATACCAACTTTAGAATTCTTAAAGATAGCATTTCCAACAGAAAAACTGAAACATTTGTTTCTCTCTCCTTGTCTTTCCAGGTGTGTCAATCAGCACTTCTACCTTCAAAGGTGCACCCAGTTTGCAGACAACATAATCTTCATTACCTGCACAACTAGACTCCTATTTTAAATTCTGTATCAAAACACAAACCACGATGCTTCCAACAACGGAAGCTTCTGTGCCCTGAACTCCACGTCACTGAGTCACGCAGAGACCTCTCCTGCTCCCCAAAATTTAAAGTCTGGAAAAGGCTATGCAACATACTGTGCAAGACACAAGGACCTTTTGTCAGGTGAACAATACAAACAGAAACACAATTATTTCCAGCCTGAACATGCTCAAAAATACCCTTTCAAACCCCTGTTAGAAGCAAATCAAACGAAACACGAGGACAACGGAGGCTTCTCACCCGAAGCCGCAGCCCGGCGCCTACACACGGCCCACACTGCGAGCCAGGGCTCCCCAGCCCTTCCCTCGGCCCCCCCCGCGATCCAAGGCGGCCTCTGCGGAAGGTGCAGGGACACCCCCGGCTGACAGCGGGGCCTGGAGCCTCGGCCCTGCGGGGTCGGCAAAACTGGGGCATTTCTCTGGAGCGCGGGGTGCTGGCGGCGGGGACACCGCCTTCCCAGCGGGACAGCCCTTTCCCAGCGGGACTCCTCCCGCCGGGGCGGGGCCGGGCCGGGCCGGGCCGGGCCGTGTTAGGCCGGGCCCGCGGGGGCTCCGGGCGCTGTCGCAGCCCGGCCCTGCGGCTCCGCGGCCCCGAGGCGGGGCAGTGCCGGCCGGGCCCTCCCGCCGCTGTTGCTGTTGCTGTTCCCGGTCCAGCTCCCCGTGCCCCGCTGCCATCCCCCGTGCCCGTACTCACATCCCCGCCTCCGCCGGGCCGCGCAGGGAAGGGACGGCCCCGGCTCCGCCCGGCGTGGGGCGGGCGCACGGCACCACGGGCGGGGCGGCAGCGGGCCCGCGGGCTCCGTGGTGCCGGAGTGTGCTAACACCGGGTTATAAATGGCACGGACGGGCTCTGCGCCATGGGCGGTGTAATGCAGCCTCGGACGGCACTTCTAAAAGGAACTGGCAGGTCGCAGGACAGGCTGCTGGTCCAGTGTTGGGGGTTAGAGAAACGCAGCGTCAAGGGCCTCAAGGCGATTCCGCACTAACGGTATCTTTGGATAGGAAAATATGTTTCTCGCTCTAAAATAAAATTAACAGTTCGCACCAGTAGGTCTACAGCAAAATGAGGAAAGCGAAGGTGAAATAGTGATCCTACCTAACAGCAGCAGAACTGTTGGTGATTTTGGCTGGTCAGGATTCACCCCAGGGGCAACGTCACTGAATTCAGGCACACAAGAAAAGAGTTTCAAGTCAAAACCCCATTTCTAAGCATAGTTAATTAATCCTGCTTGAATATATACAACAAGCATTTCTTACACAGTTGTACAGCTAAATCAATAACATAATGAAAAATGGTCCATCAACAGAAGCAGTATCTATGAATCCCAGGATAAATGCCCAGAAGCACTCTTTTCACTGGAGAAGTAATGTCTCTTTAGGAGAGTCCTGATAAATGTCTTTTTTCTTAAAATATGCTGGCTTTGGCTTGGCATTCAGTTTTGATGGATGCCTGGGCTTCACCTTGGTATTTATTTAGCAGCAGGAGACTGTTACACCATGAAAACATTCTATCGCTTTGACATTGTCTTTTAATTAACATTTATTTTGTTCTGGTCCTTTGTGTGCTCACCTCAGTATTCCTCCAGCACATTTACCTTTTCTTCCTTGTTCCTGACTTAGTACTTGGGACTTAATTAGAGTTTGAGTGTTTGGTTAACAAGCTACAAACATACCTTGTTAATATTTTAAGCCCTTCATGTGGCTAAATTTCTACCATGTTCTTATTTAATTTTCATTTATACTATTACTTAAATAAAAAATGCACTGACAGACCAGTTGCCATGTTTCTTGGATGTCATAAATTGTTTTGGAACACTTCCAGGGATGCGGACTCCACCACTGCCCTGGGCAGCCCAGTGCTTGACGACCTTTTCCATGAGGAAATTCTTCCTGATATTCACCCTGGACTTCCCTGGCCCAGCCTGAGGCCGTTCCCTCTCCTCCTGTCCCTGGTCCCTGGGAGCAGAGCCCGAACCCCCGGCTGTCCCCTCCTGTCAGGAGTTGTGCAGAGCCAGAAGGGCCCCCCTGAGCCTCCTCTTCTCCAGGCTGAGCCCCTCTCCAGCTCCCTCAGCCCCTCCTGGTGCCTCAAAACCCTTCCACAGCTCCATTCCCTTCTCTGGACACTTCTCTGGACACACTTCTCTGGCTCCAGCCCCTCAAAGTCTTTCTTGTACTGAGGGCCCACTGCAAGAAGTTGTGAAGTTCTGTGATGGTTAAATAATTTGAATATGATGAATGCTGAAACAGGATAAGGGATTTTCCCTATCAAGAAACAGTGAAATTATGGGCTAAAGCCAGTGGTAGCAAATTCATGCCACAAAGAAAACTGGGACTCTGGATCACTGACATAACCTCTGGGTTACCTCCTACAGATGAAGCAGTGTGATGCCAAAATAAAAGTTGATGCAAACTCACAGCATTACTTCCCTGAAAATTTCCACTTAGTGCCTGGAGCTGGAATCCCGCAGGAGCTGGGATAACCCCGGTGGATCTGATCAGGCCTGACATGTGCAGCTCTCCTCCTCCACTGCACGGAGGCAGCTGAGCTACTTCCCAAGTAGCTCTGTCCTCTCTTGTCACGACAGCCTGTGCTCCGTAAAGGAAAAAAAGCCATGCGTGAATCAGCTCCCTTTGGTGCGGAGGTGAGATGCTGATTGCACATCACTAAAGGGCAAGGCACCTTCAAGACTGACATAAAAGCCGTGTCACTAATAGTTTGCTTTCAAACGTCTTTGAGTTGAGGCTTTTGAAATAGGTAACATCAAGAAATCTGTCGATAAAATCAGCAATGAAACATTTGTAAAGAAATATATAGAAAAGGGATTTTTAAAATTTACACTGGAACTTGATTTTCCTATAAAAATTTTTGAACAGTAACTCATTACATGAATTTCTACAGTAATATAATTGGTGTTTTTCAAACAGGAAATAATATTTTGAGAGACCATGCTAGTTTAATCTCTTTGATCCTGGGGCCTTTGATCTGCCATGGGGTGACGCGACTGAGATCAGGCATTTTCTTTGGTGATGTGTTGAAAATGTGAAATTACTGGTTCCTGTAATCCAGCAGAGCATAAAAAGGTCTGTGCTTTTTATAGCTCAGAAACTGATACAGCTTTCTTCCCTTGCTCAGAGCCACTGGAAATGTAAGGCCTGAATATTCCTTAAAGATAAGATTATTTTCCTTACAGTGTTATCTTCACTTTAATTAGCCTAAGGCCTTCTCCCTCTCAGAATTACACCTAACTGAAATCCTTACTTCTTAACGATTTGGCATGATCCACAAACTACTGCTCTGTGCCTTCAGTGCTGTGCAATTTTCAAGATGAGAGACGTGGGCTATTGTAACAGAATTCAGATGATACAAACCCCAGCAAGGGTTTCTCCAAAACAGTCTGTAAATGTCCATTTCAGATCCACTGGAGGGACTCAGCTCTGTGCCTTGAGCTGATGGCCAGGGGAGGAAGCCATGAGACTTGATTTATACTCATACACTGTAAACATCTGTTCTTTGACATATCTCACCTATTCTGATCTTTAAGTACTTTCATAATCTGAGTGATATTTAGTCTGTTTATAATATGCAAGTGGTGAAGTGCAATGCACATTTCTGCCCCGCCTTTTCCAAGTATATTCAAAATAAACACATTGACTCAGCTGATGGGAAAAGTGTAATAAACACTGGGAAAATGGTTAAAAGTTCACTATTATACTACGTAGACTACCAGGAAAACGTTAAATCTCAGATTTCATGACATTTTTTGTTTCTGATGGCCTCCTGCACCTTTCCCATTTCCCACTGCTACACAGGTATTGGACTTGATGGAAGTGAGGCTGGGGAGGGAAAAGCAGTTTTTACCTTCTAAAGATATCACAGAATCCCAGACTGGTTTGGGTTGGACCTTAAAGATCACCTCATTCTAGCCCCCTGCCATGGACTGGGATGTGAGTCACTGGATCAGCTTGCTCAGGGCCTCATCCAGCCTGGTACTGACCACTTACAACCAGGAGCAGGGACTTTCTGCTACCAGCAGCACAGTCATCATTTGCAATGACTTGGAACACCTCTGCTGCCCCAAGAGAGGCCCAGGGCTCAGGAAATGAGGTGTGGCCTGTGGGAAGAACCAACAAGACACAAAACATACTCAACACGTTTCCAAATCCATTACTGCTTTTCACTATTTTCTTATTTCTGTGCTAGTTTTAGATTCATAAATGGCACTCTAATAATGCTTCCAGAGATGTTCTGGAGGAATTTCAGTACCGATGTTCAGCTGAGCGCAGCTGAGAAAGCAATGTGAACCAGTACTAAAGAACCTGGAATTATTCCAACCTTTGGAGTTTCCCAAGCTCAGAACTATTTAGAAACTCCTTCAAAGGCCTTCAGCTAAAATTCCTCACCGGCGCCATGAGGTATTCACAGGTGTAGATAGGGATGTCTTGTGATAACCAGATGGGACATTTTATTTGTTCTCAACTATCACAGCACAATTCAGGCACAAATTATCAGATAACTGGCTTTATTTATTGACTTTATTACTACTGATCCAGAACTGTATGTAGCGATCACAGAAATTAGAGGGAAGAGACAGCATTCTGCCACTCTGCTTTGTGCCCAGGACACTCTTGAGGAAGCCAGGGATCTGTGAAGCGAAAGTAATCCCCAGGCAGCAAGAAAAGGAAGTGCCAAGGAGCCCGCAGCTCTGAGTAGCTACAGCAGGACTCTGGTGCGTGGTCAGAGGAGCTGTCAGAATCCACCCACAATATGGTTGTGACATGTATTGCTGTACTCCCACATGTGATTTGTGTTTATTTTCCTGAAAACAAGATAACATTTCATAGTTGTATTGCAATAAAAATTCCTACTGGTGAAGAACCATGAGATAGATAGAAATATGCATATATTTATATATAAAAATAGTAGAGGTGGTATCAAGAAATACTTGCTTTTTAGAAAGCTTGACAACTAGGAATCCTTCATAAATTTCAGATAAAGCTGATCCCTTCTGTTTTCCTCACCATCTTCCATGTGTCTCATAAATGCAATCAAAACAAAAGAAAAACATGTTTTTCAAGCTTCTCAGGAAAAACTCCTCTTAATGTGTAAGGAGCAGCTCATTTGTTGTTTTTATTCCTTAGGCAGATATTTTGATGAAGATGTTCTGATCACCCAGCAGTACTAAACCTCTCTCATTTCTCAGGCTAGTAGGCTGCTCATCAGCTGAAGGATGCCAATGACCAGCAATTAGCATCCTTCTCATTTAGGAACCCTGATTACACCTTCTAACACTTTCTTGTGTAAGTGCTGCATTAGGGGTAGTTTATACTGTCTTGATTCGGGGTGTGAGGTGATTTAAAGCAGCAGCAGGGAGCAGAGACTTTTCTTACTTTTCTCAGTACCTAAAAAGTCACCAAAATAACAGGTAAAAGCAATTCATCTCCCTGCCTGCTCACCTGCTGAGTGTTCCAGGCTTCCCCAGTCAGGCTTCCATTCCAATCAATAAAATTGAGGAGAGTATTTGTTGTTTTCTTCTTACTAAGAGATTAATGTCAAAGTGAGTTAAGTTCTGCTGTGACAACCTGGTCTTTTCTACTGCTCCAGTTAGAATTATTCACTTCTATAAAATCCACACTGTAATGCCCCAGCCTGCTCCATGGGTTTAAGGGGAGGTTGTTTGATTCACTCTCTCCTGATGCATTGGGGAAACAGGAGCAGCTCCATGGAGCTTAA